CCGTATGGGATGCAACATGTCACTTAAATTACATATTTTAATGATAATTCTGAACTACTCGAATAACCTCTGCGCCATTAGTTACGAACATGGTAATTAGTTCCTCCGGGACATTTCTAAAATGGTAATGCTTATCAAGATAATTGGAATGACACAAGGTTGTCCAACTACTGCTGGACCTTATGACGAGTCGTTCCTGAGGCAAAGTATCGCAAGAAATGGGGAAGCAAATATTTCTAGACATGTTTCTTCACTTTTCTTAACACTTCCGTTGTATCTTTTTCTATCTACATCATGGATCGTGTCATTTATTCATGTTATATGTATCTCTCATTCTATGCCAGATACATATGATATATAGACATACTCATTTACAAAAAACTATCATCACATGAAAACTGAGCCGATACAGAAATTATGAAATTAGATCTGAATTGAAAGGTAAATTATCTTATAGAAAAGGTGTATTTTGTTCTTGTTACAGAAAAGGCTTTTTTGTAGATCAGTGTAATTTAAAGTGAACGTCTCCAGAAACAAGCAAGGCATGTGAGAGTTTTACCAAGCTTACGAATAATTTTGTGAAAGGTAAACACTATGGAAAGCAGCTAAATTTAGGGAAATACACGTCAAAGATGTCTGAACCTTTAGAGCTTAAAGATATACAGATAAAGGATGGAGAAGCCAATCTGAACAAAGTACCCTCGTTCATATTCGGGTTTATACACCTTTTAATGATGCCCAAAATATTCAGATTATCTTCCGACAGAAAAATTATTTATTCCGGTAAATCGATTATTTGTTATTCTTCAATCAATCGATTAATCAGAAATGATTGTTTTTTTCGATTATAATTAATTCATTACAATTAATTGAAAGATTTTTGCCATTACTAGTCCTGATTGTTTGCTACGATGTCGTATCACGATCCTGCCTTGGTTCAGAGACAATAAATGTCAAAGTGGTTCAACTGCAAAATTTTAGCTGCCGAAACAAAGTGATATTTACTAGCAGTTAAAAATGAAAGATACGATCATTTTTAAATCCTTTTTGCATTTCCAACTTCTGTTCGTGCACACCCACTGTGCCACTAGATAAGACGCCGAGTTCTGGCGCAGTGCGCAGCGGTGGGGTGGAGTAGCTGCTAGGATTGTATGTCTACATGCACCAGTCGAATAATCCCAATATTAGTGATGTTATAGAGATACTTCCAGTTTCCTTCGGCAGCTAAAATGTCGCATGTGAATCTTAACTATAGCTGATAAAAATCAAGGCGTTTTTTACTGAGCACTACAGATTCATTCCCTTGATAAAATTATCCATGATATCGAGTTTCTCTATAAAAGTCATAAATTATCCAGTAATAAAGAAAACTACCATGGACAAATTGGACGACCATGGCAACACGATAGAAAACTGGCCACCAACTAAATCATTGGAATATAAACGAGTAAAAGCGATTCGAAATATTGGAGATCAGTGAAGATGAGTATTCCTGCACATGTCTCACCTGAATCCTCTCGCCATGTTGATAGACACCACATTGAGCCACACCCCTGCGGCCACCAAGAAGAAGTAAATGGCATACGCTGTAAAAGAGATGAGTTTGAGGTATTTTTGTCCCCTCAGAAGTCACGGTATGTACATTTACAGTGCGCCAGTGACGCCATAATACCGTCGCAACGGTCGTAACTTTTTACCCAGACCTTAGGATTTTTGGAGACAGCGTTGAGTGAAAAGTTGGGGTGATCACTGACTTCAGTTTTGGGTGGCATGAGAAAATATTGAGCAAAACATGACTTAATTGAATGCTTTGATGTGAATGTTTAATGAATAAACTACATCCAATTTGAACTACTTCGTATTAGAAATAGTTAAAATTTAAACTCGTGGTATGTATTGCATTTACACCAGGGCGCGCTGACATAAACCCACGACGATGTGACCGTCAGACTGCTGCCAGCGGATTATTTTACCCGAGATGCAAAATAATTCAACAACAAATTTCCGGAACCGTAAAGAACGTATTCTGCGGTAGCCAATGGTGTGCGATGCAGAAACAGGTGAACAGCCAGGTCCAACCGGCCCCTTTCCAGCTGCCACTGTTCAGTTAGACGCTATGAAGTCAGAGATTTTAGCACGGTTTGCTTGGCGCCGATGATAACGCGGGAGACGAGAAAAAACCTTCCGTCATCTATGGTGCACGTTAAGGCAGCACTTAATTATTTCCAGACAAAGCAGGGTTGAGGTAGTGACAAGCAATGCACGATTCTCACCAGCTTAAAGGCTGTCAAAGGATTTACATTTCACAGAAATCAATATAAAATATTTTGAAAAAAGTAAATGAGAAAGAAAAAGGACAAATCACAAGTAAAATAATGAATGAGGACAACAATCTACAGTATCTATAAAGTGTTACTTGTTCATGTTTGGGTGTGAGTATGTGTGTGTATGCGGTCCGCGCCTCATTTTATAATCTAAAACTACGGCATCCATCTGACGACAAACGACATATCAGAGCAGCAGGTTGCTAGAATGCTCCTTCAGAGAGCTGCGGAATTCAACGTAGCTATACAGCAAGAATTGAAAATTCGCGGTTGGGACTCGAAACTTAGGTTCTCTGGGTCGGAGTCAGTGCAGATATTGAGCTATTTCAATCGATCTACATGTAGTACATTCCCATCACAACATACATTACACTTAAATCTCCAGTCTCCTTCCCCAGTCCCTCACGAGAGAATAAATAAGGCTAATGTGCACGGCGAAACGCCCTACGGACAGCAGTATCTGCGTGCGGTTTCTGTGAACCGGACTACGTATACATGGGCTCATGAGCTTTATCCATTCACCATTCAGGTTTAGGGTTGGTGTTGTTTACAGATGTTCGGCCAAACGTCCCCACCGACGGGCGGACGGGTGGACGGATTGGCGGGTGGACGGACGGATGGGCAGACAGGCGAACGGTCAGACGGATGAGCAGGCGGACGGGTAGACGGACGGGCGGGTAGACGGACGTGCGGGTAGACGGACGTGCGGGTAGACGGACAGATAGAAGTACGGACGGGCGCGAGCGCGGACTCGTGGACAGGCAAGCAGACGGGCGTTAATGCGTTTCCATGTATGCATGTATGATGTGATGTCTTTTGATTGATCCAAACTTTTTAATGAAACAAGCAGACAGACGCACGAACATATAAACGTTTCGAAAAACAAACATTTAATGATTAACGAAACCTTATCAGTATTTCATCGAGTGTGTATTACAGACAAAATTTCGACATCGACTTTTGCAGTTTTACAAATAGATAACTTCGTATGAGTTAGGAATAACTAGTATAAAATAATGTAGGGGCGGATTTGCGCATAGGTACAGGAGACATGTGCCTACGACGGGAAATTTTAGAGGCAGCAAAAATTATAGAGTAAAATTGAATTGGAAGGAGCCTCTTCTTTGTCGCGTCGACTCATCTTTTCTTAAAATTTGTACCGTATTTTATGAGTTTTTTAACAAAATGATTAAATACTCGCAAATTTATTTATTAACAGGCTAATAATATCTTCTACTATATGACTTGTGAAAAATCAAAACGAGCGATGTTTACATTTTTAGAAGGTATACAATTAAGATTTAATTACAATTACAGAAAAAGAGTTAATATTACATCGAATCCAGTCACCATTAATGGAATTCTTAGAACTGACAATTGCCTGTTGTAATTAGTGTCATCAGAGGAATTCCCCTCAGATTTGGCGGATATTAAATTATTCATATTATAAATTTTAGAAATTATACATACACTATGTGATCAAAAGTATTCGGACACGTGGCTAAAAATGACTTACCGGTTCATGGCGCCCTCCATCCATAATGCTGGAATTCAATAGGCTGTTGGCCCACCCTTAGCCTTGATGATACCTTCCACTCTCTCAGCCGTACTTTCAATCAGGTGGTGGAAGCTTTCTTGGGGAATGGCAACCCATTCTTCACCGGGTGCTGCACTGATAAGAGGTATCGATGGCTGATAAGAGGCCTGGCACGAAGTCGGAGTTCCAGAACATTCCCAAGATGTTCTACAGGATTGAAGTCAAGACTCTGCAGGCCAGTCCATTACAGGGATGTTATTGCCGAGTAACCACTCCGCCACAGGCCGTTCAGTATGAGCAGGTGCTCGATCGTGTTCAAAGATGCAAACGCCATACTCGCAATGCTCTTCAACAGAGGGGGAAGCAAGAAGGTGTTTAAAACATCAACGTAGGCCTGTGCCTTGATAGTGCCACACAAAACAACAAGGGGTGCATGCCCCCTCCATGAAAAACACGACCACACCATAACACCATTTTGGACGTGTCCGGATATTATTGATCACATAGTGTATTTAAAAACATATTTTTTTAGACATTATACGTATTCAAATTATCTATTGATAACGATTAAAAAATTCAGTGATTCACCATAGAAAATAATTGAAAATCCATAAATTATTAATAAATCAATATTGATTTTATTCATAAATATGTGAGTACAAATTTTAAGAAATAAATTATACATTTTATTACATATAACGTTTCTGTTATTAACCCGTCTCTGCAAGAATGTAACACACATCAAATGTGTAAGAGTTAGAAATTACCGGATACTGAGGTCTCTGAGTTCCATATGAGGAGGCACGGCATGTGATTTTCAAGAAAATGCAAGAAAGCACTTCACAGGACTAAACATAGGCAAATAAACGGAGCGCGTCCTCACCGTAGTGGTGGCAGGTGGCG